AAATATATCTATGAAGAGGAGAAGGATGCCGGGAGAAGGGAAAGGGAATTTCGCGGTCGCAGGGTTACCACAATCGCGGCAATATAATCGGTCTCATTACTTAATTGTCACAACGCGTAAGACCCATATTACTTTACGGAGTCACTGTTTGGTGGCCGGCACTAGTGAAAGCTACGTGCAGGTGCAAACTTGTTAAAGTTCAGCGGACAGCCAGGTATGCCAAAAAGAGTGCTGCTCTCAAACCCCTACTATAGCACTTGAAATTCCTCTTAATTTTCTTCCAACAGACCAGTATGGGAAGTTGCAGGCGAGGTATAACGCAACTGGATACTGTTGATGGAATACTCATGGTAGAAGAATAAGCTACTCACTAATGACTTGCGTTGCGGCTGCAGTGGCATAGACGACAGTGAGTCGGTGGAGCACTAACTTCGCTGCTGTCCCACCCTAACTGCAGCCCGACAGGAACCATCATAGGTAATTGTAGATATAGCGTAGATATAGGTTTCAACATCTAGAAAGGTTAGAGAATCTTGTCCCATCCATGATGGATGGGATCGCAGTTGATATCTCAACAGATATTTAATGAAGATTATATACTGTTTGCTTACAAAATCTTCTTAAAACATCTCTAAAAGTGAGACTGATTTGCAAATCTAATCAACTGCGCATTTTCTTGAATTCGATTTAAATTTTGGAACAAAACTTTTAGAGAGCTCGGTCTCAGGACAACCCGTAAGAAAGAATTCTACAGTCGGTGTTGCGAACTGCAAGACTCTTCATAAGGGTGACGAAAGAACAGCTATCATTGAGGGTCATTGGGGTGACGAAAGGGTCATAACTCGGATTTTTACATCTGCTCAGACTCGAAATTAATATTATTTTGGTTGTGCTTGGCTCAAAAGGACGTGTTTTATACTGGATTAGTTGTGGCCGAGACCTTGAAGGCAGAAGAGATTCTGGAGTTCATCCAACTTGGCAATTAGGAGCTACCCACCAATAATTAAAGGATAGTACAAGTTGGCGAAGTCCAACTGGGTGAATTTAAATATAAAAAATAAGATGATATCAGGATATTGGCTATATTCGTTACTCCGACGTGAACGGTAGATGGTCAAACTTGGGTCCTCAGTGTTTTGTACAAAGGATATTAGTAGTTTGAAGAATGAGCCTCTAAGTATAAGCGAGCGGTGACAGTAACCGACTGGTTAGTAGTGCATATTACCATAAGGAGAGTCATGGGTTTCAACCTTAGTCAGAACGACATGTAAACTTTTCGAAAATTGAGTATATTTCTGTTAAGAAACTAAAAGCTCTCACGGCTTAGAATAAGTTGTAGATCCCTCCGAAAATCGCCACTGCGTTTATTAACGTAGAAGCGGTAAGGGGATTTTGTTGTTCCCACTCGAGAAGAGCTTTAAAACACTTCTAATGGGACTCACGTCTGGGTCACGCACTTTAACCGACCTTAATCTAACTTCGCTTCCAATAAACTCTTTTTGATGTTAAATGCAACATTGAAATATATGTAAGTATATCAAATGAACCGGTTTGAAATTGACGGCTTGTGGCAGCGAAAGACTGTTTGACTACTTCACCGACAACCAAAGTGAAAACTAAGCAACTTTCTACAAGCTTCCGCCTTGAGCACAGTAAGCGAACGTCAACAAAGTGGCGATGTCCTCTGATTGGTCACCGCTATCGACTGGTTTTACTTGTCTGCACGCATAATTTTTACGATCGCCTCGTAATTGGTAGGTGGCAGAGTTTATCGTACATTAAATTGGCAATAATTGTAGTATAAAAGTTCAAAGTAAACAAAAAGTTATGTCAGAATATTTTTAAACATGCGATGATACATAAATACGTATGTATGTACGAGTATGTATTGTAAGTATGAAGACAATAGTTAAAAGGAAATAAAGCTCTGATAAGGTAACGCACGTAACGGTAACTTTGTCAAAGGTAACCAAACTAACGGTAACTCTATTAAACTGAAGAACGTATAACGATTTTCAAACATAAACATTTTTGTGGCAAGAAGTAATAAATATTTATTAAAAATCATTATTTCCTTATTAAATTATCAAAGCATTTTAAGTTCACTGGCTCTGCAGCGAAGCGCTTACAATTCTGGTTTATTCTTCGCCTATAAAAAGTGATTTTTACGATCACCACGCGTTCGTCGTCCACCCATCAATGTGGTTAACTGATTTACTGGTGTCTACTAAATATCCAGCTGAAGCAGCTCATAAACCTACATTATGTCTCAGACTCAGTAGCTGTAAATGAGTAAAATACTTCAGAAGAAGAAGAGGAAGATCGACCTGACAGACCGAGATAAAATATGTTACTAGCCGTCCGTATTGAGTTTGTCCTTTTGTTTGTTGTTTTGTTGGTTACCTGCCCATTTTATATTTAGCATTTCAGGGTGGAGTTATAATGATGCCGGCAACTTTGTTGCAGTTGTGCGACAAGTTTTGTTTCTTTACTCTTCAGTTGACAGCTATCAGGTTGAAGAAGAAGGCTGTTGAAAAAGTGAGAGATTTACGCTCATGGCGTGTAAACTAAAGGAGAAATTTGAATCGGTGTACAGATCATGATACAAAAATTCTATACGTTCTTAAAAGTAGTTTCACTTCGAATTTTTCGACACTCAACGTAAGGCGAATTTATAGAAGGTGAAGTTGTCACATCATATGATTGCTTGTTCTTCCTTCCATTTCAACAAATTACACAAACAAAATACAATACATGAGAAATAGGCTTTGACATTACGAACTTTTTATTACACCAACAAAATACATTGAGCGAATTTCGTTTCTAACTTTTCGAAACTACGATTACACAAACAAAATACATAGGTTCTTTGTTTTTGTATTCTTGATAACTACCGTGTGTAAATTTGCCCTGACTAAAGTGTTTGCTCAGAAATGTTGGATCTTGCCACTTAAAAAAATTTCAACTTGGAAAATTTTAAATTATTTTGGTGTTGTTTTCCAAGCAGAAGCTATGAATTGAAATATTTATTTCAAGCCATTTTTCATAGACGGCAAAAGTAAGGAAAGGATTTGCTAGATATATACGTGTAAATGTTATGGAAAGAAATGGCATTTTCAATTTTTTTTCGAAACTTAAGCATTTAGATTTTCTCAACTATATGCCAAAAGTTCGTAGTTTTAGGGCACTGGTTATAAGGACACCCAGGGAACTGCGGGGTCGATGAGCTGACCGGATAGACATAGTCATAACTCCGGTAAACTCTGCGGTTCGTCGTTGCATGCATCATTAATCTGCTGAACTTCGTAAAATGCACCAACTTTTTTGGGCATCTAGAATGATGAGAGGAATCTTCTTCGTAGAACCAACATAGGTATCATCAAGAGATCAGGGTTGCGTGATCTAACAAGCTGTTTAAGTAACTGTGAGACTGATTTGTAAATCCAGTCAACTGCTCATCTTATTGAATTCGATTTGAATTTTGGCAGCGGAAATCTTACCTTTCTGATATTTTCTTACAATTTACTAAAGTTGTAATACAAAAATCATGAAAAGCATGCACTCGATGAAGTTCACTATCAGGGATTGGAAAATACAATATAATACATGATTTTTGAATGTTTAAAAAAATATGGGAATTCTTCACATGTTTTTTATTTAAACTGGTAGATTTTTTGTAAGAGAAGAGGGTAGCGAAGAGAGAATAAAACTACATTAAATTATTGTATCGTGGACAATTTTCGACCACTTTTTGCTGCAATTGGAGCCGAATATTCTCTTCTAAGGCCTTAATCGTCTGAGTTTATCTGCGTAGGCAAGCAATTTCACATAACGCTACTAATATTAGTTTGGCGGTGTTAAATTGTACGATCTTGAAGGCTACGCTACAGGCCTGCGTCGAGAGATAATGTTTTCACCGAAAGTCTCCTTCAATAAATTCATTACTTCGTGGCATGCAGCGCCGTTTTGATGAAACCAAAGATCGCTCATACCAATATTCTCGTTTTCAGGCAAAAAAAGGCGTTTATCAGAAAAAATTTTTCAAGAAATATAGATCAATAATTCCACTCTCAAAAGTACACACCAAACAGTGACTTTTTGAGCATGTAACGGGATCTTAAAAATGTCTTGCCTTTCCTTCAAATGTTATTGTACAATACAATTTTGTTAATTAACGTACCCACTCAACCAAAAGTGAGCAAAATTTCCTTGCAATTTCCTTCACCGAACGTACGTAGTGCTTGTCGGTCGCTTGACTTCAACTCTTGAACGAATTGGATTTTGTAAACACACATACCAAGATCCTTCCGCAAAATCTTTCACAAAAAGCATGAGCTCAGGTCCATTGAAAGCTCCTTTAGTATCAAACGACTTTGGCAGGAGCTTACCAATATACAGTCTTACAAGTTTTACAGCGAAAATTGATCACTTTCTCTAGAGAGTTTTCTAATGTATGATACATTATAAATGAATTTATCTAACGTCCATCTCCTTATAGACTCTATATATTATATCCTATAGTTTACTCGCAGCCACCTCCGAACGGCTGATGGTTTCTTTTTATGAGGAGCTTTTTATTTCATGTCAGAAATACACTCGGAGAGGTCGATATTCCCTGCCGAGGGGTGACTGACTCGGTTACCGCGGTCTACTTTCTTCTCTATGCTACTTAAAAATGGTACTCGGTGGGTAGTACTTAAAATTACGTCTGGAAGCTGCTGAAAAAGGACGCAATAATTATTTCTGGCAATGAAAAATGGGCAAGTCTAAAGCTGAGTCGGCTACAGCACCCGACAACTATCAGCACATATCGTTGTTGTCAGCTCACCTTTCGACACAAGAAAAATGGAGAACGTTCCGCGTCTGAAGCCAATAAGTTAAATCTTCAAAAGTGTAATTAAAAAATTATATGGAATTTTCTGATCAATTTATTTCAATACTAGGTTTTAATATTTCTCTATAAAGAGTAAGCGTGCACATTTTTAAGAGCTAAAAGCTTACTAATCATTATAGAGATTATGCAGAAGAGTAAAATATGAATATGATGAATTCAAGAGTGATTGAAATACTTCCATGGTCATTGGCGACATTTGTCCAACACGAATCTGGGGAAAAGAATTAATAAGGAAGACAACTTCGGATTATTCCTTTGCCCATTGTCTACCTACCTGCAAAGGTTTTTGAGTACGACCAATGAATATGAGAAGCGTACGTTTGAAGCGTTGACTACATTTATACCATTGCATTTCGTAAGCGGCATCAGACACCAGAAGACTCTGTGAAGAAGTTATAATGAATATTTAGTCAAAGTACTAAGGCGCCTAGAACTATGCAATAAAAATAGGAACTACAAGTTTCAACGAAAATTCTGTGCTAAACTAGGCAGATTACTGCTGTCATAAATTTTGTGAGATTTAGCAAAATTAGATAATTTATTTTAGTTACGCTTTTTAATGAATTATGATTCTAAAATATAATATTCACCTGTTCCAATATACCATTTGCTTGCCAGTAATAAGTAAAAAGCACATACAACATAGTGCCAATATACATCACAATGGATATTTTCTCAGCCGTAGAATTGGTCTATGGTTAAAAAAAAAATTAATAAAATTAAAATAAAAACATGAAATCACAGTAACTGAAATATGAGTATAATAAAATTAATTTACTCACAATATTGATGCAAAAAAGCAGCGAGCAAATAACACAACTGAAGAGCATAAACTCAATGAGAACCATATAAGTGACGAGTTCATTAGAGTCATTTACATATCTTTTGGAAAATGAAAAATGACATACTTTTATAAAATGGTATCTATTTTTATAATTATGCTCAGAATTAGTAGAGAATCTATAAAAAAATCCCCCAAAAATATATATTTATATTACTTAATAAAAAAATCCTCTCTTACTCACTTAGAAATCCTTGCATGATATGATATATTCGAGCGTAATAAATTGAAAAGTTCCATTTCGCTTTTATGCTGCATATTATCACATAGATTTCGAAGATTATCTTGCAATACTTTGAGAGCAACTTTACCGAACATTGCAAATGAGGCGAAGAGACTGACGTAAGGCATATACATGCTGGTGAGAGTGAAGGGACAAGGTAATTGACTAATGTAGACGATTTCATAGAGTGGCGAGCGTGTGACATCTATACCAGGCAGTGCGACGCCAAATGGATGAACTGTGGGCAAATCATAGAAAATTCAGAAGGATAGAGTTTAAATTATACAATGCGAATCTATTTATGTATACTATGAGCATGTGGAATATGCCCTCTGAGATTTAACTCCTGGTTTGATACCGAAATAGAGAAGAGAGAAAATAATACAAGCTGCAGAGCTGAATAGATATGGTACAATCTTTGGCTGGCATATGCCGGTGATATTGTGATAATTGCCTCAAATCGTCGCGAAGCGAGTTAAACAGTCATTGAATTCGCTCGACTCCCTCTTAGAACTTTGAAGTGTTAGACAGTCAGAACCAGCATTAACAACAACAGCAATGCCAGTCTTAAAATCCAATATAACATCATTCTTCCCAACAGGTGATTCGTACGCCGGGGAGAGATCGACGAGATAGTCGACTATACCTGCCAATTGCTGCGATCCAGGAAACAAAGTTGATCGCCCACTCGGATCTTCTGAGCTGGGCCGGGTACAACAATATTTGCAAGGATCGCTAGCGAGACCATGGTAGGGGCTTATCGTTCATTCTACACAACACCATGCAGTATCGTTTTATTGATTTCGACATCGACTGCAGGGTTACTACCCTAGAATGTCAGGGCGTAGCTAACCGGTCAGGCGATGCCGAGCTCGAGAAATTTAATATATACATTCCCCGTGTTATAAGTAATCCCGTAATCAGGGATTTAAAAGCGGAAATTCGAAGAGTAGTTAAAAACCAAAAGCGGAAAAAGATGGAGGAGCACTTAAGATCCACAATCTGTCTTCTGGGGCAACCAAGCTCTGGGCTACAGTCAAATCGTTTGTCAAACCTGACGAGACGTGAGGACAAAATGGAATTTGTATGCAGTGACCTAGCCTCGTCGGAACAGAAGAGATGCGCGACCTATTTTAGCGAGCAATCTTCACATTGCAGCCTTCGGTAGACAAAATGAAGCGACGAGTAATCTGCCGCCTACGCAAATTGCTTAGAACCAGCGCGGCGCTTATTTTCTTCAAAGAAAAGGTTTAGGAGCTCATCGGGAAGGTGAAACCCTCCAAATCCATCGCCCCGATTGAAAAAGCTTGCTGATGCTCAAACATCTAGGACCAGCGGGAGCAGAATTTCTCACGAAGGTCCTCAATTCTTTTTTGACCAACCTAATGAAACCCATCGTTTAGAAAATGGACAGGCTGGTCTCGTTACTCAAGCCGGGGAAACCAGCTACCAAAGGAGAGTGTTATCGGCCGATAACTCTCATCTCCTCAGTAGCGAAGATACTTGAGGCCTTGCTGCTCCCGACTTTCACACACCATCCGTCCATGCAGCACATCAGCATGGCTTCCGTAAAGTGCACAGTACCATAACAGCAGTAAACGCCATTAACATTGAGATGGTCAATGGTCTTAACCAAAACCGAACCTGCGCGCGAAATGTCCACACCACGTGCGTCTTTCACGGAGCATGGTTGAAAAGTTTTGATGCACCCACCATGTAACTCGGTTCTTGCATTGGTTGTCTACCATTTCTTTCTGTCTCCGTAAGACTGTATTGATGGTAAGAATTTGGCCACCGAAAAGCGACTGAAAATCAGTTGGCCAAGTTCTTCGCCGATAAACCACAGAAGTATTACATCGATTGAATTTTGAAGCTACCGGAAAAATGGCGAAAGGCCATAAATGATAGAGGTTGTTATGTACTTGATTAAAATAAATTGTTTACGAATAAAACTGATTCGAAATTATAAAGAGAGCCGCAGTCGATTCTCTATTAAGTCTCATTACAATTTGATTAGATATAAATAAATTGGTTTGAATACTTTTCAATAAAATGAACTCAAATTACACTTTACTCACTTCTGTTTTCCTGAAAAAGAGGAAATAATGTTGCCGCAATTATATCGCAAAATGAAGCTGATAAATTGAAGATTGAAATCTTACGCGCAGCCTTGGTGGCAGCTGCCAATTCACGCTTGGCATAATCATTGCCAGTTGCCTGAAAAAAAAAATACAAAAAAAAAAAAAAAACTGAAATTTTTCCAATTTTGAAACAAGACCTCCCACATTTCTTACTCACCTCTATATCATCGTACATCGTTACCAGCTCCTGTATTAGCGCTTCAAATTTATCTCGATTCTTAATGACGAGGCACGTACGCAGCAAAGCATTAAATATGGATGTCGCAAAGAAAGTATTCAAAATGAAAGTAGCCAAATCACCCCACTGTTGGTACAAATAAACAAATTGCATTGCATTCATCAGGCAAACTGGCGCCACAAATGCGGCACAACGGAGCCAATTGCGCGCAAAGAGTACGGAAAGAAATTTCCAAAGTCTGACGTTGATCGCGAGCAGCGGATTGTCCTCGATTCGTGTGATGGGCATGATGGTAGTCCGTGATTCTAAGTAAGCGAAAATAAGACGAAACTCTAACAAAGTGCTTCGGAATTTCTGCGGAAATCAATTGAGCCACACACTCACACCAAATTCCAGAAAGTGTGGACAAAATCGCAAGTTAACAAAGTATTTGCGCTCACTCAAACGTATCCTCACACCGACACGGAGTCACTTTCAAGCAGTTGATTTCTTGATTGCTCAATTGGTTGATTGCTCACTTTGTGGTTTATTTACAATCCACTTTTCACTCCATGCACTTCCGTCCAAGCACGAGCTTATTAAGACACTCTTCGATTTCGTTGGCCATTTGATGCCTTTTAAAGTATTCGGTGTGAGAAATCATTGTCTCTGTCCATTGTGTTTGGAAAATACTAAATTAACTTTGGTGTCTATTTGGAATTAGAAGAAGGAGCGTGCACAAGAGAGTATTTGCGTGTGCGTGTGAGGAGATCTATTACTGTAATACGTGTCATATGCGTAATTGCGGGCATAAATCATTAAGTGTGTCAAAATGCAGCCAAGAGGGTAGTATTTTGAAAAAGGTGTGGTAATTTCGCAAATTGCAAAAGATTTGCTGTATTCAATTGGTGGGCTAGAAGTATGTAATTTACCTTGTTAAATATATTTTGAGGTATTATTAAAGCTAGTGAACGCCCCCTGGTCGATATTCGAACACATTTTTTTAAGAAAAAGTCTTTTAAAGTTACATGAAACGTATTTCAAAGATTAAAAACTCAAGTGAAATTACAGTCATATGATTGCAGTATATCATTAGTCAAATATTTTCCATGTGAACGACTACACTGTGCTCGAGTGTGGACCTTTTCTCGAAAAATGGATCACCAATCAGGTATAGCTAATTCGAGTGCGCTAAAATTTATTGCGTTAGCTGTTTTTCGAAATTAACTCTTATTTTCAAAAAAAATACAAATTGTATGCTTAAAAAAGGGCTTCGTATTTACTTGAACTTTACTGAGCTAAGGTTTTTTCATCATAATTCAAAATGACTGATTCAATGTGGCGGTAAGATTTTTAAAATCTAGCAAAATTATTCGTTACTCGGGGGGTTTGAATAGGAGTTTGGTGTTGGTTTTCCAAAATTCAAAATGTTAGTTACAATATGGCGGAGAAATTTTGAAAAATGCATAATAACTATGATTCAACACTCATTTGAAGCGGTATTCCTCTCGCCTCGAACCAGTGAGTTCATATTCTGTAAGTATGCTTGTTTTTCCATGAGAGATAATCGCCATAATAAAAACGGAAGAACACGAAAATTTTTGTTTCTTTTTCACTTTACTGTTAATTATTGATATAATAACATCGACATGAATTTTACGAAATAGAAACAAAAAAACGATTTGTTTGATTTCTTTCTCTAAAATATACGATGATACAATTCTTCTTGGAATCTTCTATAAAAAAAATATTTAAATTCGAGTTTTTAGAATATGTTGGTCGCAAGGCCCACTTTCCGGAGAGAAAAGTAGTCATACTCCTACTCTAATCAGAAAGCTACCTTTGTATCAAATTTCAAGTTAATCGAACCATGAATAAAATTTTTCGATTAGGTCGGTTCTGGTTTACAACAGATTTTACCAGATTTTACAAAACCTCCCGAGAATCAAAAAAAAAACTGATAAGTTTTTGGTAAGATCTGCTGGCTAGTTTCGCAGATACCAGGAAACAAACAACAAAACAAGGATTTTTATGTGATATCCTATAGCCGATTAGCGATTGTACCGGTGAATAGAAGTAACGAAGGAAGCCGAGAGTTGATGCGCATACAGTGAGAGAAAATACTAAAATTTTCACCCCAACTAGACTACAAGGAGAAATCCTTCTGTTGAAATGTAAAAATAGGAAGTAGGGAACACTAAGTTCAAGCGCAACCGAACATTAGAAACTTGGAGGATATTTATATTCAACACCAGTCGACTTATCTGACTTTAACAGTAGGACTATCGCCCAGTTATATGGCAGGTAGGCTTATTTGTGGATCCATGCTAGTATTTTTTGGCAGTTACTGTATAGTAACTCTGATATCTATTGAGTAAAATCAAGTTTTCTCAATAAATTCCATAAATATTCGATTTTTTTTTGTAATAAATCGGTTGGCCTGCTATATGGAAGTTTTCGAGCTGTTCGAGCAAAGAGTACTCGCATAAACATTCTTCTACTTAAATTGTGCAGCATTTGAGATAATTTTACACAAGCAGTGGACCGATTGAGTAATGAACGAGTATCGAGCGATCATCGAGCTGCTCGTACTGCCTGCGTAACTAGAGCTCTCTCGAGGTCCGAGCAATTCTAGTTGAGTAATTAGTTCGTTATATGAAACAAAGCGTAATTGTTATCCACATGTTCAGTCACTAGACTTAGAATTTATATATTCAATTTTAATGCATACTGTCTATGACCGAAAGTTTGGGCCCAAACATTTTTTCCGCTCGCCATATTTATTCATTTATTGAAATCGCCCCTAACAAATATAACATGACTTTATTTGCATTTCACATTGAATTTTTGCAACTGTCGTACTTTTTCAAATTACCATTATACGTGGGGCGAGCGTGATCCGATCCGAAATATCTCAATCATTACTTGAGCTATCGTGTACACCGACGGGCAGACGGATAGACGGACAGACAGACATGGCTTAATCGATTCGTCATGTCATGCCAAAGGGTTTGATAAACCTAGGTTCAAATAGATGTGCATTATTTCATGCCATTCCTTACTACTCTTAGCTGAAAAATCCCATTACATTCTCTGTGGTCATAGTAATATGTCGATAAACTGTTCATTTTCATAGTGATGCGTTCCTCCTTTGAAAAAGTGTTAAAGCTAATTATGCCATCGAGGCAGAACCAGGAAACGAGCTATTTCGATGGGTTTGAACAAAAGCGAAAGAGATATTAGATGCTGGAAATTCTTTGGGGATTTCGGGGTAGAGTAGTAATGAGTATGAGTTTAGTCTTCTATATCATCTATACTTTAACTGTGCCAGAATAATATGGGTCTCGAGCTCTTTGGCTGTAATTGGTTGTGAATGGGTTTATTGATCCTCGGAGAATGGCGTTCAAGATCTATGTGAAATGCCGCAAACGGTGGTTTTGTTAAGTATTATTGTATTAAGTGCGTGACGGCTTTGCTTTTACCTCATGGTTTCTTTGGTAAAATAAGGTTTTCCATTACAGTTTCAAGATGACGCTTTGAGAAGTCTACATCTTACTAGATCATGTCGTCTAGATGAAATCCCTGTAATATATTACTGTCCGGTGGATTGCCTGTCTGTTGCCCAGCTTGTAAAAGGAGCTATATTGGATTTTTCCGATTAGGGTTTTAAGTGCCTGGCAGTGAAGAAGTGGAAAAGCTTGGAGAAGTTGTCATTTATTTTTCAGAGGTTATGATTGTCCTGGTTAGTAGACAATATCGAGCAGACATCATTTTAGCACATCAAGAGTTTCTCTCCGGTGTACAGATTTAACAGTAGCAAGTAGAGGAAATCATACTTCGGGTCAACTTGTTAAATGTTCCTGATCCTGGATATTCTACCGGTCACTAAAGGCGGTCCTAGGCATCAGAGTTGAACAGAAAACCGAATACTCGACATACCATTTTGTTTGTAAGTCACTTTAACAAGAGATAAAAACTTTGTTAGTTCTGCCCTCTTGAAACTTGACAACGAAGCGAAATGAAAGGGTCTGGTGATGAACGAGGACAAGGCGAAATATCACCTGTTTGATGACAGTCGGCCAAAAAAATTCAATGAAGAAGAAGAATCTCTTGAATATGACATAAATAACTTAAAAAAAATTACATCAACTATTCGGTCACTATCGCAAAAAAGAGAAGGAGCTCCGCTGTAAATCACTACAGTGCCCTGGCCTGATTCTGTCGATCTAATTTTGGCGTAAAGAAATTGCAACGGAGTCAAATAACCGCTGCTTGGCGGCCATCGAAAGTCGAGTAATTTTGCCTGCGTAAATTCCTTGCTGTTGCGGTTGATGACTCCCCGTTTTGAATGGTAATTTTCAATGCTTTCCAAATTTCCTTCAAGCATAAACTGAACCATTTCATTAATTGAAACTCATACTGCATATTTGACACAAGGGAAATGTCGTTGAGGTTGTAAAATGGCACCCTTTATTGAATATGGATGTCACAAAGGAGGTATTCTAAATGAAAGTAGCCAAATCACCCCACTGTTGGTACAAATAAGCAAATTGCATTGCATTCATCAGGCAAACTGGCGCCACAAATGCGCCACAACGGAGCCAATTGCGCGCAAAGAGTACGGAAAGAAATTTTCAAAGTCTGACGTTGATCGCGAGCAGCGGATTGTCCTCGACTAGTGTGATGGGCATGGTGCTAGTCCGTGATTCTAAATAAGCAAAAATAAGACGAAATTCCAACAAAGTGCTTCGGAATTTTAGCGGAAATCAATTGAGGCACACACTCACACCAAATTCCAGAAAGTGTGGACAAAATCGCAAGTTAAAAAAGTATTTGCGCTCACTCAAACGTACCCTCACACCCACACGGAGTCACTTTCAAGCAGTTGATTTCTTGATTGCTCAATTGGTTGATTGCTCACTTTGTGGTTTATTTACAATCCACTTTTCACTCCATGCACTTCCGTCCAAGCACGAGCTTATTAAGACACTCTTCGATTTCGTTGGCCATTTGATGCCTTTTAAAGTATTCGGTGTGGGAAATCATTGTCTCTGTCCATTACGTTTGTCAAGTAATAAATTAGCATTGGTTTCGATTTCGAATTTGAAGAATGCGCGTTCGCCAGATCTATTCTTCCAGCAAGCGTTATACTCGAACACGTGATTGCGGTTATAAATCAATTAGTCACTTATTTAATATAAGTGGGTCACTCACTAAGTACTCCAAGTAGTCATCAAATGACATTTTCAATTCCATTCACAGCTGGTGACAACTATTAGCTCAATTTATAGGGAAAGTGCTTGGAGGTG